CATAAGAAAGAAATAATTAAAGAGCTCCCAGAGCTCTGTGGGTGTGCTTACCATGGCCAGGAGCAGCACCTCTCTGTGTCCTTATTCCACTTCTCCAGACAGCCCCTGGATACACTTCCAGGTTTGACTGCCCATCCATTAGTCCTGTGTCCTGGCCAGGAGCCTCCCTCTCCCATCAGTCAGGGACTTTCCCCCACYAGTCACCTTTAACCACAGGTTTGAACCTGGGCCAGGCTGGCTGCCCAGATTGCCCCACTGATGCAGCGTAGCAAGGGATGAAGCCTGCTGCAGCCAAGCTCTCGAGCAGCTGAGTCACTAAATTCATATGCATCCTCTCCTCGAGGACACCACTTCATTTACATTCAGCCTCCTCCCTGTACATTTAGCTATGCATTTGCTACTGCTTAGCTTCTGCCATGAATTTATAATGCATTTTTGAAATGATCAGTGGCTCACCCATGCAATATACAGCCATGCTAGCTTCAAGTCTTACCTGCACTATGTGTTCATGCCATATGGATTTGAAGACTGCATTTACTCATTTCCTGGCTTTCATGTTTTTAATAAAAAAATACATATCCATATGACTTCTGGCAGTCAATAAAAAATGCTAATTCACCTTATTTCTAGATGCTCAGTCACCCCATGGGGTGCTCAAGCACCCCATTACTTTAGCTTCTCAGTTCCAATATTAGATCTCTGTTTTTTAGGCCTCAATTAACATTGTTTTCACTAACACGTATAAACTCCTATTTCAGGAAGCAGGGAAATTAACCACAACCTTTATTTATTTACATCCACATAAAATAAAATCTAACTAGAGTTGTTAGAGCACTTGGCACAAGTTTAGAAACATAATTATAATATTATAGAATCAGTCAAAACACCAGCTGCTCTTTCTTTCCTATATCTTTTCCATCAGCCACATATCATTCACTATTTAGTGAGAAGATGCAGTAAAGATTAAAACTCAACCTAAACCATATCTATTACACAATCRTATCTTTACCTTGCTGCTATATCTAGGCATCTCTTGTACAGTCTTTGGAAAGAAGCTGAGCAATAAACAAACAACTTCTTTTTAAAAGTATTGGTGTCTTCTTCTGTCATGAAGCCTAGAGCACTGCATCCAGTCAGTTCAGCCACTTCTATGGCTCAGAAACACCTTTCATATAACTTTGAGAGATGCATTTAAAAATGTTTATCCCTCCCACTGAGCTGCGAAACAAAGCAATTAATCATCCAAATAAGATCTAAAATAATTCTTCCTGTATACAATTTTCTCATTGATAGCAAAAAATATTTTTTAGGGTCAATAGAGATGTGGAATGCAGAATTGAGTACTGATTAATCAGGATAAGACTGTAGTTGATATGAGAGCAAGTTTAATATCTAGTGTTGTAAATTATTACTACTGTTGGGCATTTAACATCCTTCTCAAGTGCAGTGAGAGATGCAGGTGTTCATAACACTGAGTCATTTTTGCATACAGAAAAAGGCTGAAAAGGGATGCAATGGTGCTCTTTCGGGCATTGCCAACTGACCACATGAGAGTTTGGAGCAGGGTGTACTTCAACTAGCACTCCTAAGGTTTTGCTTGGGACAACCAAGATACAGCTCTCCATCCAATCTTGACATGAATAAAGTTTTTTATATGTTCAGAAGTTCTACATGGCTACAAGTTTGTCATTGTTAAACATATAACAGGTATTAATCACTTTGGATGTATTGCAGAAGGTGGGAGGTAAAGGTTTTCCAGGTACCCACTACCAATAATAGGACTGAAAAGGGAGATAATGCCTCACGGTAGCATACCTGGAAAGCATGAAAACCACCCAGAAGTCTAAGTGAGCAATATGCTAAACCTAAATTGGATTTTGAATATGGCAATTGCTTATAATATTTACAAATCAGCACTTTAAAATGTTGTGTTCGTCCAGCCATATATATACTTCTAGTGGCAATAGTTTATCCTGCAGTGGTATAAATTACAGTACTTATCTTCAATGTACATTACAAACTGTCTGTTCATTCCCTGCATCACCATAAAAGGCAATAGCATTTTCTCCCCAGTTGGGAGTAGAAAAAGCATATGCAAATATTTCTTGGTAACCCTAGCAGAGCTGTGCAGCCTCCATGGAAGCAGGGATTGGAATGTGCACAGGGCTCTCYAGGCCTGCCCTTGGACTGTGTACCCCAGGTCCTCTCAGGACCAACAAGTTTGATTAATTCCTTGGCTGGCTGCTCAAAACTTATGTCTGAGTATTAAATCTATCTTCCTCTAGATATAAAGTCTATCTACATCTCTACAAAATCTAAAGAGATACCCCCCTCTGCTTTTATTTTTAAAGCCAACTAACAACTGATAAACATCTGACAACAAGCAGTTCATCAAATAGCACGTGAAGCTTTGGTGTATCAAAGTGCAACAGATCATAGAACAGGCATTTGTCTAAAATGTAGCCAGATTTTCTAAAGAGCTCAAGGATAGTTTTTTTCTTTTCTTTAAATATTCAGCATCCGCGTCTATAGGCAAATTTTTAGAAGAGCCCAAAGCCACATGTGCTAAAACTCTAAGCATGTTGCTAGTTATTTTCATTCTTAAATAGAAGCCAAGCTTTTTGAAAAATTTTCCCCCCTTTGAAATATTTATGCTAAAGAATATTACAGTATCCTCCACTTAGTTTGGGTTCCAGATATACTTGTATGTCTCTACAAAAATAATCCTATTGTAAAACACTTTTTTTGTGAAATGAAAGACAACTGTAGGAGTTGTGGAACATAGCCGCTTCATTTTGTTATTAAGTGAAAGGGCTTCATAGGTGGCCTGTGTGTGAAATACTTCATCCTACTTGTTTGGAAGCTTTATATTGTAAGAGCATGTCAAGTCATTTTTCAAWAGCATCTACTCATAAGGCAGGCCTTCAGTTTACTTTTTCATATATATATATAGGTTCATAAACAAATGCTTTATTTCCCTTTTGAAAAAGTATTGTGACTTTAATATCAGATTTGATTTTATTTCATTATATTTGCACACTCTTCCTCTGGAAATCTAGAGTACCACAACTAGATGTTACAAGCCCTCATCTCTCTGAATAAGATACTAGAGCATAGCCTCAGAAAGAGATYCTAACTGATTAGTTATCAACAAGGAGATTAGAGATGGTCTGAAGGAAAAATTGGCTAGCTTCATAATGGGGTCAAGTGCAACATACTGCTCTTACAMAGAAGGATTCAACTCTACAAGAGCAGAACTAGGGATGGTTGCCTGGAGAACCACTCCGGATACATGGAGCAAGGGATGCACCAGGTCTCAAGCTGCTCATCACTAAACATTGCACTACCAGCAATCAGCAGCAAGGGAGGGAACACCAACCTTGGTCACAGAAAGCAGAACAGTTTGCAAGAAACCCTCAGTGCTCATCTTCAGTGTTGTAACACTAACTAGAAAACTGAGCCTAAAGCTGAGAATCCCACTTTAACAAATACACCAGGCCCAGGAAGTTGGTTCTGGGAGAGCAAGAAGAACAGGCAGATGCCTTTGAATGATTTAAGGAAGTGGAGCTTGTCAGCCTGGAAAGAAAGTTGTGCAGTACACTTGCTGCTGCCAAAAAGGAAGGGTATTATCTCTTCATCCATGTCACCTCCAGTCAGGATGGCTGCAAGGCCAAGGGAATAATGAAGTCTGCCAAAGCTGAAATGCACTGATGCTGTTTCAGGAAAGGGCACTAAGAGGTGACAGAGTTACCCAGGTCAATGGCTGTGAGACACAGAAGGCCTGTGCTGGTGAGACGACACCAGGAGGGCTTGGCAAGGCCCCTCAGGGAGAGCTCAGGTCAAACWTCAACCAGAGGAGGAAACATGAGGCACAACAACCAAGGAGCTTGTAACAAGTGCTGTTTATTCCACCCTGTTGACTGAAAGAGAAATCCATTTTCTAAAGTGTGTTTCATCACCCAACAGGTACAAAAGGCAGCCCATCATCTTGTGTGAATGGTTAGCAAGTGTGTCTACCTCCATGTGGACATGGGCACACACATGAACGCAGGAGGGCAATCAGACAGCATGTTCAAGACTAGAGGTCTAAGTGTCCATTGCTGAGCCCAACTGATGAAAGATTAAAAGAAATCCTATGTATTGCTTGGCTCAGAACACCCAGGAAGGAGAGGAACTGCTTAGAATTGCCCCTGGGAGATTACGGCTAGGAGCAATGGGGTAAAGTCAGGTAAAGAAAAACAACGTGAACATCAGTAAAATTTCCTAACTCAATGTTATTAGACTGGAATAATCTCCCCTAAGGGAAGCAATAAAACTGACATCATTTGCATCTTTGCAAACTAGACCAGACAAAGCACTGGGAAATATACTGTAGGGAATAATCCTGTAAAAAGATTGCACTATTTTTTCCCATCTATTCTTTCCTCATAAGATTGCTTCATCTATAGAATATGCCACACTCCTTTTCCTGTTCCTATATTCCCTTTCCCGTGGGCTGAATAAAAAAAAAAAAAAGAAAACCCTGAAACACATTGAGGTGAAACATATTCGGCCAATACACTTCGTAAAAAAAAAACTGCAACTTTTTTTGCCTAAAATATGACCAATGATAGATAAGTAGATACAAGATTGTATTCTCTAGGCTAATGACACACTTCAGTACAATATGCAATTAGGTTTGCCTTAAATTAATTACTGCTTGACATGCTGCTCATATAAATACTCTGTGTAACAGGAGGAAGTCTGTTTGACCTTAATTATTGCCTGTAAATAATCCCCGAGTTGTAACTAAGTAGTGCCTTTAAAATGTAATTATTATAATACCAGAGTTACAGAGCTCATTGATTTATAATTGCCTGATTGTTTATAGCCATTAAAGCACTGCTGCRATAGGTTCATCATGCGTGCAAGCACCGGCACAGAAACTGGTGAAGTACAGCCAGGACCTCAAGGAGGAACTTGGAATAACATCATCTCCCACAGGTAAGCAGATAAATAACTGCTCCAGTCCAGCTCAGGTCAGTAGCGTTCTTCACACGGCCCATAAACTGTGAGAAAGGAGTTAGTAATTTCAGGGTAGGTCCTCCAAAACAACTGGGAGGTGATGGGGAGAGACAAAAAGGCAACACCAACATCTCAGACTCCCACCAACCCCTTTGCTGCACTGCCATCCAAAAATTCCTCTTTTTGAGCCYGATTTATACTTTTAGGGTCATGATGTATAATGCATTTATGGAAATAAGAGTAACTGTGCTACTAGGAAACAGTGTTCATGGAATTGTTTCCTCTTCCTCAACAAGCATTACATTAAGCATTATGGACASAAAAATTCTGCTGCTCATTCTGTGTATCTTTATAGGTGAAATACCTCTTCAGAGAGGATTCAAGGCACACACAAAATTCTCTGATCTTTTTCGTGTATTCAGTTCTTTCCTTGCCACTGTCTAGCAATCAGCGTCCAGACCCGGCATGTATTTTGTCCTTTGTGAATGAAAATCAGTAAGTAAATAATATAGCATTAGAATTATTCAGCATAACACACTTTCACTCAGTGTCATTGAGAAAAAAAAACTCACAAGGGAACAGCAATAGAAAAGATACCACGTTAAGTCTTAACTCTGAAAAATTGAAAATAAGCTTAAAAAAAGGACGTTTCACTAAAAAAGTATTCATAAATAATTTGATAACATTACAAATTTGACTAAATATAAGCCTTAGCTCAAATCTCAGTGTAATTAGCTAAGAACCAGGTGAGTGCCTTGTTACAGAAGTAGCTCCTGGAAGGAATGGTTAAACTATGGACTGCACATTCCAATAACCACGCTGGCATTCAGAGAGCCAGAATTTCATCCACAAAAGAAGAATAAGGGAAAGAGATTCACTACATTCTGAGTGCACAAAATTTTAAGAAATACTCAGAAACTTGTGTAAGATATTTGAGTGCATATCTACAATTTTGAAAGCCTAAGAAAGCTTGTTTTGTGTTTAGACTATTAAAGAAATTGCTAATGTGAATTTCTTCAACGTAGGTCAAAACTACTGAAAGCAGGGGTGAAGACTTCTTGCATAAGCCATAAAGATAGTTTTAGGGTTAAAGTAAATAGCTCTAAATAACTGACGGCTGCAATCCTTTTTCAGGCATTCCTAGTCTTTACAGCGTGCTCCTGAAAAGGGAATATTGGTCATGTGGCTTCATTAGTCAGGTAACTTAAATTCCCCATGGTAAATGAGACTAAAGAAATGTAAAATATTCTAATACTGTAAAATGCAGATGAAGTGATAAACCCCAGTTGTTATTATCAGCATTCCACAGCAATTAGGGAATCTCAGCAGAATCCCATATCTATGGGAAGAAGATCAGATTGGCTCAAAGTGTGGTCCTGTCTCATCATGTGACGGAGTGTAGGATTAAAGGAATCTCTATCTCAGTGTTTCTTGCACACTATCTTTTCAGCTTATAATTGAAAGTGCTGTTTTTTCAACTGTCAGTTATGCAAATCCAATATAGGTTCTTGCCCTTCTGCATACCCTCACCAGTCATCAAGGCTCTGCAGCCAAATTCAGTACCTGCTCAGACCTATTCCTTTCAGTCTTTGTGATATGACAGACAAAGAACAACGGGTTTAAACGTAGGAATCGTCTACCGCCAATCCCCTTGGAAAGGTTTTAGTGACTAACCTCCTTCTAGCTAATCCAGTTCTTCAGACATAGCACAAAAAAAAAAAGCAATAAATTAAAAATTTCACTCATTCATACACTTTGTCATTTTCCTTGGTTTAGTGATGTCTATAAAAAAGGCTAAATTGCTGACATGCTGTAAATTTTGCCWAATATGAAGTTGGAAAACTGACCCATTCATTTTGTTTTCCTTTTCTGTGAWTAGGTGACATTCTGTGATCAGGTGACAGGACAATCCTTATCTTACACTCAGAATACAAACTCTCCAGCACAAGCATCACCATGCAATCCTATGTCCCTTCATCRTTATAGTCAGGTTAAGAATGGTAAGAAAAGACAAGTACTTTTGCACAGAACTGGGAGTTTTGAAGATTTACTGGTGCATGAACTACATCGTAAGAACATCAAATATTATTTAAATAATGTGAACGGTTTTATTTTTTTCCTAGCTCAAACTTTTGAGYTTATTTTCCATGTTATTTTGCCCCAACTGCAACACTTAGCTGAAATAACCAAAGGAACTCTAACTGATAAAWGTAACCACAGGGAAGTGATCTGAGAGCATAACCTGATACAGGTTGAAACTGATGAGGTTGCCTTTGTCTAGGAAGTTGCAAAGTCCTCAAGAAGMAGCAAGTCAAAGTGCTCACAATGTACAGAAGGGGAAAAAAAAAAAGCAGCAGTTGTGAACAATTTGTGATTAAATAATCACTACAGGGCAAAAACTAGTTACTTTCCTGGCATTCACGGGCTAACTAGAGTGGGAAAAAAAAAAAAAACAAACAAAGTGCAAAAGGTCTGTATTGACAGAAGTTATTCTGTTTTTCTGCTAACAAATAAAAGGCTGAAATTCTGATAAGTGCAGCGACAGAAACAGCAGAGGTTAAAGACCTGGCCTGCAGTATCTAGCAAGTTTTGTCGAGTACTTTAAAACAATTGTTCCCAGACTGAGATCCAGGAAGACCCTGCAAGTGTTTTTCAGTTGATCACAAGAACAGCAGCAAATGCCATTTCCAGTTAAAATTTAACTGAGACAATGTAGGATGACCTTAAGAAAATGTGAAAGTTAATTTTGTCCCATCAAACCATATTTGAGAGGCGTTAAAAAAAAAAAAATTACAAAGCCCTGGACTTTGAATAGCCAGRGATACTTGATACTTAACAAAATGCAAGACTACCAGCATTCAGAAAGACAGTTTTCCCAACTAAGAAGATACAAGATATGAAACCATTTAATAAGCCTTTGGAATGGGGTAAGTGCAACATCTATCCTAGTCACTTGCCTACCCTGGSACTACTTAATAGAAATCACTGCTAATTTATTAAAGAAAGTTTTTCTTCTTTCCCGGGAAGAAAGGACCAGACAGCAAGACATTTCCTCTTACTGTTATCAGTCACTGCTCCAGTATTTGGCCCATACCTGGGGAGGGCAAATTGCTTCTACATCACCATCTCCAACACTCTCYTGGAGCAGTTATAGAGGTGCAGGATGCTGCCCCTCTACCTCAAACAGCTGTGATATGTGGAGAAACAATGCACTGGGAAAGTCCTCTAGAGGAGCTGTACACATGTCCTTAAGAAATACAATTCCTTGGGAACAGTRGCCAGAGGAATTACTGAAGGGAGGTCCAAAAGCACACAGGAAAGCCATTGGGAATATAAATATCAGTGTCCTAGATTTGYGCAAAGGTTGTCCCAAAGAGATCTGCTTATTTTAGCTGATCAGCAGAGGCTTGCTTTCTCTTCTTCCTGGACTTGCTTGAACTCAGTCCATCAGAAATATTGTGTGAGTATAAAGTAAAAATAAATAAAAATATAAAAATTAAAAATTACCAATAAAAATCAAAATAATAGCACCAACAGATGGGGTCCTAGTTTTTAAGGATCTCTGGAAACACAAAGTAGACAGTTTGTATGCYCGAAAAGTATGATGAAGACATATGATCAACTTTGACATTTGACCATCTTACTTGAGGACCCCAAGCAGCTGGRGACACCAGCTTTAATATTTAATAATTAATAATGTAATGTATTTAGTAACTTACTCCAGCCTCCCAGAGTGGAAGTCCTAGGAGCAAGATGCAGTATCAGTACAGGAGCTATTAGTACAGGATCTAGCACAGTTTGAACCCTCTCTCAGTTTAAATCTGCAAGCAGTAAAATACCAATTAGTGTTATTCCTACTGAGGGACATTTGCTTCCACCCAGAGCACCTCTAAGGAACACCCAGGACTCTGTAAGTGGCAAAACAGACACCTCCCCAATTAACACAGAGGTCATATGTGCTGACAGGCATAATATAAGCAGATTGTCCCACTTTTCCACCCACTGCATTCTCATTGCTAATCTAATTAATACCCTCAGAGTATTTCAGACGGTCACTTGCGAGTGACAGCCAAGATGAAACACTCAGATATCTTTTGACATGTGCTTGTTTTCCAGCAGTCTCATTTCCGACACCCCTTTTCTMCCCCTCCTTATCATTTGCCTCCTGCAAATTTACTGTCTCTGTCTCCCAGCCCTTGGGAGGAGAGGGCAGGACCGAGCCACAAGGAATCTGGCTCAATAAGGAAGCTGGAAACATCTCTGTTTCCCACCCCCCCACACTCTATTCTTTTAGAATAGAAAGAAATAGAAAAAGAATAGAAACWTCTATTCTTTTTGCTACCCACCTCCAAATCATCAACATCCCATTGACACGGTGTTAATCCAGGGGCTGCAGCTACCTCTAAGGCTGAGGCTGAGCCAGGAGCAAACCACATTGCAAGAGAACAGTCCTCACCTACATATYTTGAAGACTAAGTATCTGGAGACAAAAGGAATGGAGCAAACCAGGAGGATGAGGATGTGGTAGAAGGTAAAATATTTGTRTTTACCATTACATTTAGCCATTTATACTTTTCCCGTGAAGTACTAAGCACAGTAGTTGTAGGGTGCAAGTCATTTGTGGAACACARAAAGGTTATCCTCTTCTCTCGCCTATCTTCATCTCTGTCTGGGGTCAAGCCAGAAAGAAAACAACCACAAAAACTATTATAATTTTACATGTGATATGATCTACAAGATTTTTGCTAGATTGTCATATTTTCAGAAAAAAAMCCCACAAACAAAACCCAGAAAATACACACATGATGCTCTTATCAATGTATGCCTTTCCCAAGGGATATTATATACAACAGGTGAGACAGTTGTAATCCAGGAGCAAGGGTTAACTAATATGCACATGTGTAATGATCTCAGAAAAGACGTTTTCTTTCAAGAAGGTAGGAAGTGAATGGAAATAGCTTTTTTTAAATGCTATCACAGTGATCTCCTTTCCCTTTACAGGAACAGCAAAAAAAAAAAAAAAAAAAAAAAAAAAAAAAAAAAAAAAAAGTGTCACAGATGTGGAAGCAGAAGCGGGAAGAAAAATAACAACACAATAAAGCTGTACTAGCTCTGCAGAAGGGAGGGCTCCATGAAAACCCAGGGGCATAGCTAAGGCAAGGCTTGAGCAGATTAGAGGCCTTTTGAATGAAGAGCTGGCAATTCTCAACCCTTTGCAGGTACACAATTTATTCCTGCACTCCCTGCAAGCGACTCATCTCTTCAGTTCAAAGGATGCTGCTGATATAGCTAACAAGAGTCTTATAAAATGTCTAATCCAAATTTCATCCAACTTGGCGAGAAAAATCCAAGAAACTATATAGACTTTCTGAGAAGTTCATTTTAAACCAAATCAACTAACTCARTGCAGGGAAGAGAGCCAGTTACTATATTCTTTAACGTCATTTCCAGGTAATCTCATGGCAAGGAAACAGTGATAACATGATTACACAYGTCTGTATGAAGAGTTAGTGCTTTCGTTTAAATACGATATTAGTTTTTTTATGAGCAAACTAATAGGGCTGTATACTTTCTTTTATACAAATTGTTCTTTAACAAAAGGTTAAAGAAAGCAACTTAACATGCTGGTGCAATAAACACTAGAATTGCATTCAGCCCATCAGAAAAGGAAAAAATGAGAAATGTAGTTCTTCGTCACCACAGGCCTTAAACTAAGAAATAATAATAATGCAATAAAAATAGTCAGAAATAAATAAATGAGCCCCGGCAGCGAGCCCTTCCTCCCTTCTCTGCGGGCAGTCACTAGAGGGCATCATCAGCTGCTCCATCTGGAGCGCAGGCCAGGCCGGMGGCCTGGGCCCGGCTGCCCAGGGAGGCGAGGGGCTGCGCCCGGCCGCTGCCCTCCGCAGAGCCCTGGATACGCGGCTTTCCAGGGGCTCTCGCAGCCTTCGTGCCGGGGCACCTGCCTGGCGCCGTGAGGCACGTCTGCTCTGGAGCGCAGCAGGCAGGAGCACCCAAGAGCAYGTGGCTCTCCGCACAGCACCACGGCCGGCACGCACACCAGAGGAGCCCGGAGCACTGCGCCCCAAGTAGGGCTAGCCCAATCCACCACCACACATGCAATAAGCAGCACTCACTGCTTTACGTCACTATTCCTTCACATCTTCTCCTAGCGCTCAAATGCTCTTACAGTTGGCTTGCCTACCACAAGCTCTGCAACACAATCAGGGCACCCGTTACACACTCTTACCTGGTTGCCCAAGTTGCCTTTGGAGCACAGGGATGTCCTCCTGGAAGATACCTCACTCCCACCATAGAAGGAGCCTCAGGAAGGAACCTCACCACCCAGGCCTATCTGAGGGGCATTGCAGGATCACAGCTCTCCAGRTGGCTCAGCAGAGCCTACTTACCTGCTTCCCCCTCGCTAGCTCAGCACTGCACCTGGAGKGCTCAGCTGCCTAAATCAGCTCAGCACCCACTGCCGCACTCCTGGGCCAGTCGCAGCTTGGTTGTGAGATGCCCCCTGTCCTCTTGCACCTCCCTGTCCTCCTACAGGGGCAGCAATGATGCCTTACTCTAGCTCACTCTGACTCATGCATCATGCTAAGAACTTCTAGTGGTCTGCAGAGTTGCTCTTGACTACTTTGCAGAAACTAAACGTGCCTTCTGGCCAGCTGGCTGAGGAAGAGGCAGACCTGAAAGTAGCCACTAGCCACAGATTGACTCTTCACCCGTGCCACAAGCACCCCATTCATTCAGATTCAACTAGACTACCTCTTTAAAAGGCACTACTAAAACAGAGACATCCATCACCTTCCTGGTATACAGACATGAATATCTGTGGGGTTATCTGTAGAAATGTTTACCTGTTGACTTTTCCATTTTGCCCTGACAGCCTAAGGAAAGGTGAAATGCCAAGCAGACCATGAAAATATGATTAGCTTTGTTAGATCCAAGGTAGGAAATATCTCCCAGAGATTCATCAGGAATGTGTCTACTAAGCAACGCTCTATGTAACAAACCAGGTCCCATTTTTTCATTCACCCCTTTAGAGTGAGAGTGCTAGGGGAAAGGCATGGATGTTGCAGGCGCTAAGAGCACATGGGAGAAGATCCAGCTAATGATGGGGGTTTGCGTACAGCTGTTTATCCCCCACTTTTCTTTTTTTTCTTTTACCTCTAATCTTCTTTCTGCACTTCCTGAAATGTCAGATAGGTCATCTCCATTGCTTGATTGCAAGTGCTGTGACCAAAAGCATCACTATACCAGGATCCTTAATCCTGCTGTTACATGGACTGCTATGCTGGGAATAAGCATCTATATACACACCATTGACAAGGGAGTTTTTGAGCCCTTAAACGGATTGCAAATGCTGCTATATCCATGCAAATTCACAGCAGGGCGAAACTGCTGTCTCTGCATGTCACCTCAAGGACTCTCTCCCACAAATATGAAGCTTGGGAATAATACGGACATGATGGGCACAGCACCACGTCCTTCATATGAGCCCAGGCAAGCCATGGTGACACCTGCTAAGTGCAGGGTAGCAGAGTATCCTCTTGCCATATTCATAGAAATTTCTCAAATTATTTTTTTCCCTGGGTGGAGAGTTCTTAGTTTTGGTGAAAGGTCTCTGTTACTCAGAGGAACAGGAAGGATGGACCCCTTTGCCAGGAAGTGATGAGCCCGTGGACATAACAACAGGATGGCTCAATGTATGCAGTACACGTGTATGTCTCAGAAGGGTCTTCCCAAAGCAGACTTGGACCATCTCCAAAGCCTGGAGTGGATGTGAAAAGCACCTGAAGTTCCAGTGTCAGAAACACCTGTTTTACAAGGAACAGGTCCAGAGGTCATAAAGAGTTTGGGGTGTTTTGATTTTTACTCAGGGTTTTCCCTTTAAAGGTCGAGTCCCTATACTCTGTTTGGTTTGATTCCTGAGGGCCTGCGTAGGCAGCACAGGCTTTAATTTGGAGGCTGATCTGTAAGCAATGGAATAAATAAGCAGTATATCACCCTTGCCCTGTATGACTAGCACTGCTGGACCCAATACAATGTGCAAAGTAGCAGCTTCACAAGCAATTTGGGAAGAAATGTTATGTCCTGGAAGCCTCACAGGAGCAGCAGCTGGAGGGAGCATTGATGTTTGTCACTAAAAAAGTGGAGGACCAAGAGGTACAGAAGAGAATAGCCTGGAATTAGAAGTGTATTAGAAGTGGACTGGAATTAAAGGAGCAGCATACGCAGATCGGGGCATAACTAATCCTGCCAGCTGCGCTKTCTCAGGCCTGGAGAAGGTGTCATATTTGCATTAGAAAAGCCAAAAGAGCACACTTGGCTGGAGTCATAAGTTTTGACATTGGTGAGGCTCTGAAGTGCCAAAACTGATTTAAAAAAAAATGAGGAAAACTTCTGTGAAACTTCTTGAAACATTCTTTCATTAAAAAAAGGGGGTTCTTGTAGAACACCACAAAAGACTCACTTTAGAGCAAGAAAAGAGGCTTTATTCCTGTGTACTGAACCATGGAAATTTTCCTGCACTGGGGACACTGGCTCCTGCCTTTTTAAACACCTACAACACGAGGCTCCTCCGCGACTCTTATTCACCAAAGCTCCCATACTCGGCAGAGCGACACTCTGAGTCATTTTAACAGAAACCCACCCATTCCCAGGCTGACAGCTCTTACTCACAAGCCAGCATTTAGATATGCAAATAATAACATATTGTTATCAGCAGTTGGTCCAATAAGATCCCCTTTGTTTCATAAAAAAAAAAAAGGCGTATCAGTTTTGAGCAGTTGGCAGTGACCACATAAAGAGGAATTTGCGAAAGCAAGACCAGCAAGACCAGCAGCCTCTGCCAGTTGGGTTGCATGCGACGCTGATGTCAGGCGACGCACCGCAGGCTTAGGGTGCTAACGAGTTGTTGATATGCCTGACATTATGCAGCCTGCTCATAGCAGGTATTTTCATGGGAGCTACTGTTTTTAGAGAGGTTGCCTTATTAGTCACGAGCCAGAAGTTTCAAGGGAAAATTTGGAAAACAGGTAGGGTGAAAGCTGGAGGGGACAAGGAGGAAGGGAGAAGGAAAACTCTTCTCATCTTCACATATTACTTAGTCCTAAGTACAGGGACATGAAATAGCTCTCCTAGGTCACAAGCTTGTGACAGGATTATAAATAAAGGACACCTGACTCCATCTTCCTAGCTATAATCATTTGTATGTATTCATATATACATGTACATATAATAAAACCTATGCAAAAAGAGGGGAAAATTAGAGGTAATAGATCTAAATAAATTATCATTCTGAAATAATCCAGCTCATTTAACTTCTTTCAGTTTTGTCTGTCTTTCCATCAGACATTTGCAAGACAGTTTTTAGAGCCTAATTATCTTTTTGCATCAAGACATGCTCCTTTCATTTGGGAGAATTAGTAGCATTTAATTTGCAGACATTCGCCATTAGCAAATCTGTCTGTCCACTATGACAGATAGATTATGAGAAAACAAATGGAAAGCGACATTCATGTTAGCCAGAATGCATTTTTGGCAGCCTTCAACTGGATTTTCTATTTACTACAACTTTAACCTATCATCACTTCTTCATTACAACTGTCTGATTGAGTTGGTTTGTTAGCCAAATGGCTTTTCCAGGCATTTGTTATGACAGTAATGTTTATCCCATGAAGTTATCAAAACCCTTCTGAGGGAATGAATTTCTTAACTAAAAAGTATCTTGATGTCAGATAGGGACTGACTGCATGGAGGAGTTTTGGATCCAAAGCTCTTGAGACACTGCAGAGCACAGAGGCAGGCATAAACAGAAGGGGAGAAGCCTCCCACTAACCCACTTCAGGTGTTGTACCCAGAAAGTTTTGTTCCAGCAAGAAAAGTAATGGAGAAACATAATCTTACAAGAGATATTGCAAAAACCAAACTAAAATGTATACATTTAGAGGAGAATGCAAACAATCCTATATTGCATCARTGCAAAGAAATCCGTCTAAGAAAGAGCAGAAAAAAAAGAAAAAGACATTCAGTCCAAAAAGTTAATTCTGGATAAAAGAACCAAGAAGTATAGAAAAGATTTCCATAACTAGGACAAAGAAAGAGATACAATAGTTATGTTTTGCACTTCCTCCAGAAGTATTGTCAGTACTTTGCAGAATACGTGCAGAAGCAGGGCTGCCTAGGAGAGCAGGCATTCGAGGATGATTTATATCAGCTAAATAAAGGTAATTAAAGATATAAAGGACTGAAGCAGTAAAAACAGTACTGCTATTTAACCAAGTGTGACAGCTTTGCATGACTGATTATTCATGAACTACTCCTAGCTAGTTAAGAAGCATAAAATGTGATTCATAACCTGCAGAAAGAAAACAAGCTATTTATTAAGAAACTCGAATCCACGATGCTCCTAAAAATAGTGAAAATTTTGATTTCCTTTCTACAAACAGTCTTCAAATGTATGAATTAATTATTTTGTATAATGCATATATATAAATATAGGTATATACATACATATATTTCTCTCAGGCAATTAGAAGTTAGCAACTACAAAAGGATGCAACACGATATATGCAATATAAATGCATTCTCTAAAACCATCAAGCACTTAGCTATCATTCTTACCTGATTCTTGCCATGCATCTTTATGGATATAAATATTATCAATTAAGGAACATTAAAATAAAGTCAGTACACCAGGGACCTTTAAAAGAGAGAAACACTATAGAGAAAACAGAGAAATGGACCCTGAAATAGAGAAAATTATTCTTTGATTAGGTTAAAAGCTTCTCTTCATAGGTAACTAATTGAGTAATAAAATAATGCGGAATGTAGAGCATATTAACAATTTTTCCTTAACTCTTAAAGTGCAGTAATTGCAGCCTCTTTATAGCCTGGATTAACCCTGCTGTCCAAGTGTGTAAACATGGGGGGCTAAGGTGACAACAAGGCTGCCCAATGAATTACTGGGTCACGGCAGCTTCCCCACCTAGAAAATCCCTAATTACAACTCACAATTCAGTAACAAAACAAACACATACACACATTCGCAAAACAGCGCTAGGCAAAGGAGCAGAAAGTTAGTCTTATTTATTCATGTAGACCATCACAGCAGATAGAAAGCTAAATGTCCATTTCCATAACACTTCTTTTTTTGAGAAATCTTTTCCTTCTTTTTTATTTCCCCTGCTCAACCTGCTGGTAAGTATGATTCTTTCTCTTTTTTTTTTTTTTTACATTGATGAAGTAGAATATGTAAACACATATAATTATAAAAAGTCAGGTCATTATGAGTGTGCTTTATTATGAGCC